GGGGGGGCGCGCACGCGCGCTGGATTAATTAGCTATATCCCTGGCCCTTTTTCTTTTGTGAGAGGGTCTTGGTAAGTTGTCTAGGCTTCCCTTTAACTTGTAAGTCTCCTGCCTCAGCCTCCCAAGTAGCTGGGATTACAGGTATGTGCCAACACAGCAGCTCTTTCAAGGTAGGGTCTCACAAAACTGCTTTGGTGCCTCAAACTTGCAATCTTCTTGTCTCAGCTTCCCAAGAAGTTGGGATTACCAACATGTTGTACTATACCTGGCCAAGGTGAGCTTATTTACAAGGCAACTAACAAATTTAGTGGTAAATTAGGCTTTAAGGCAAATAAACATAGGAAAGGAGCCATTACCCTTTTTCACTACTGTAACAGTAGGATTCCTTAACCCTGCTTCTCATTTTCAGTGGTATGCAAATTTTGGTACACACAGCCCCCAAAGAAATTCCAATTAAGGTCTAGGGGTGTACCCCAATGGTAGAGCACTTGCTTAATATGCATGAGGCCCTGGGTTTGATCCCTAGCACAAAACAAATAAATGTCACAGTCTAAGTAAGAGTACAATAAAAATATCACAATCTTGTTTCTTCTCTTTTCTAAAGAATAGTTAGCTAAGAAGGCGATTGGCACCAATGTTTTGAAACCTAGTTTAATAATAAAGCTCAGTTAAGCTTAGGTATTTCAAAATTGTGTAGATTATTTTCAACAAAAGAGAGTAAATGTGCTAAATATAGACTTAGTATAGCTGATACCCAAAATAATCTTATTTCTGTTTTTCACCCCAGTGCTGGGTATACAAATTAAGCAAGAATACTAAGCACATATTTTATACCTAGCTCAACCCTAGTTGGAAGTAATCTAAATTCCAACAATGAATATTACCTGTTTGATGACTCCTCTATTTAACTCTCTTTTCAGTGCTTGTTTAAGAAGATAACCCCTTCTCTCCAACTCCAAAGAAGGATACTTATGGATTATGTATTTTCGAATAGCAACCACTGATGCACCACTCTTCTGGAAGCATGCCTAGAAAATTATCAAACCATACACACTATTTTTTTATTACAGAACTCGACATCTTTTCAAAATAAAGTTTTTTTCAAAGTAAACTTGATAACAAATTATCAAAATAGGAAGAATAAACAGCACTTCAGAGAACATCATTTCACAATTAGAAAGTATTTCTACACAGAACACTAGCTCTGCTATAAAAGATAAAATTTGAGTCATTTGTAGAAAAACAGATGCACCCTCAGACCATAATTTTAGGTGAAATAAATCAGACACACAAGCTTAAAAACTGAATTGTTTCACTTATATGAGAAACAAAGTATAAACACAGAGCAAAATAAACAAGAGGTAACTGGAAATTGTAATTGGAAATAGGGAGACAGGGCTTTTGCAAATGGGAAGGGACCAGGAGATGGAAGGAGTTGGGAGCGAGGACAGGAAAAGGGGACACAAAAAGCAGTAAGATATGTTATATACATGTATTAACTTTCTACAATGAATGTAATTATTATGTATTGCAAACACGCACAAAGAAAAATAAGTAAAACCAGAAAAAATATTTCTGCAATAATTTTAAATCATTCATAAACACATTAAAATTTTGTGTGCTAACCAAGAATCTCTATTTTAATTCTATTTTATATTTAGAAGATAGATCTTTTGCATTAAAATGAGGAAAGTAGCCAGGCATCATGGTACATGCCTGTAATCCCACCACTTGAGAGGTTGAGGCAGTACTGCAAGTTCAAGGCCAGCATGGGCTACATAGTGAGTTCAGAGGCAGCCTGAATTATACAGCAAGACCCTATCTCACAAAAACCAAAATAAATAAATAAATAAATTAATTAAACTGAATAAAAAGAATAAAGCAGAATATTTCTATCACTTAGAGGATTACAGTCTGATCCATTTCAAGGAACAAATTTTATTGCACTAGGACTGATACTTCTCTGTAGATTATGAGTATCAGTAGAAAGGAAACATAAATAAATCTAAATAAATGGCATAAAACTGTGTTTATAAATGGTAAAGTTTTAAGGGGAGTTTTGAGCAATAAGGTCTTCTACTGTAATTTAAAGTGCCTTCTCCCACTTCCACCTTATTTATCTAATCTCTATCTGTCTAGTGGCCAGAGAAGAATTAAATATCTCACTATGCTACAAAGACAACAAACGTTTAGTTTTTTTCAAATATTTTAAATTTTGAAGCACAAAGTAGGAGTATCTGCTATTTCATCTAACAGGCTAGTCTACCAGTTTTGGGTTGCTACTATCTATAAACAGAACATATTTACTCTTATATTACTCAACATATTCTGACAAGGAAATACAGTAACTCACAGGAAGATGGGCCAGGAAAGAATGTACAACATAAAATAAGTTAATACAGATCACCTAATACAAGTAAAACGTCTCTGAACTATTAACGACATACTGAAGTTTGTTTCTGATTCTGAGAAAACACAAACCAAAGAAAAATCAAACAATCCTTTGCTTAACCAAACTGGTAATGAGACAGAAACAGACATCAGGACTCCTCTTTTATGTGAAAAACTGTACCAGTGGTCTAGAAAGCATAATAAATGGAACATTGTATTTTATAATTACATGCTTTGTACAGAGTCATGATTCAATACAGAGCAATTTTTCATTGCTCTAAGTTTTTGTTTTACGATTTTAGTCCTTTTTTTGTGCTCACTGTAATTCTGCTCCTAAGTGATAGTGAAAAATCCTCAAGGAGAGGCTATACAAATAAAGACCTCAATGCAGTCAAGCTATCTAGACAAAGTTTGTTCTTTGTGGTACTGGGAGATTAAACCCAAGGTATCACATTGAGCTGTATTTCCCAGCCCTTTTAAAAATTTAGACAGCATCTTGCTAAATTGCCTAGGCTGGGCTCAAACTTCTGACTCTTTGTCTGAGTTTCTCAAAGTGTTGGGATTACAGTAATATGTTATCACACTGTTTGTTTGGGGTTTTTTGTTTTTTGCTTTTGTTTTCAGAGACAAAGTTCCACTGTGCTGCCCAGGCTAGCCTCAAACTCCTGCACTCAGCCATCCCAGTAGCTTATACTATAAGGGTATACTACTATGCCCAACTTTAAGAAAAGGTCTCCCCATCCTCTTGTACTATGTATAGAACCCAGATTCTTGCATTGAACTACAGTCCAGCATTTTTTAGCTTTTATGTTGAAGTAGGCATTTCAGCCTTCAAATAAAAACTCTGTATAGTCAGTTAATTGAGTCAACAGACAATAGGAAACAGGGAGCTAGACCTTTTGCAAATGGAAAGGGGATTAACAGAGAAAGGAGGAAGGGAGGAGGGAGAAGAAGGGGAGGTAAGAAGAATTATATACATGTACCAATTCCCCACTATGAAATTAATCATTATGTATTACAAATGTACCATTAAAAATTAAAAATTTACTAGAGTTAATATGAATTTTCAAAAAAGAACAACAGTGGTAACCAAATGTGATTGGATTGGAAAGACGAGTACCTCACAGGGTTTCTTTTAAATTTCCTTTAGGAAGCAACGCAAGATTTCTGGTATCTGGACAGAGAATACCATTTGCAAACGAGTAAAAGATGAATGTAAGAAATCTAAGGTGACTGGCTGAAATAAAAACTTGCCTTAATGGCCTCAGTTAGAATTGCATCCATCTTGGGACGTGGTGAAGAAGCCATCGGTGTTTGTTTCTGGGCCCTGGCTAGCTGGCTGGCAGAAAGAGTAGCCCAGGAAGGTATGGTTTTTTTCACTTTCTTCTCCTTTTCCTTGGACTGATCTTTCTCCCTTTAAAACAAACAACTGTTATTATACAAGATAAACTTTTGACAAAGTGGTACTATTGACACTCCGTATCTGTAGGTTCTGTGTTTTTGGGTTTGATATCCAAGGATACAATCCTAACCTAGTAACTAGATATACAATCTAGCAAATGATTTGATGGTCAGTCCCCTCAACTATAAAAGTTCTAGCAACCCCTTTATAAAGTGCTTTAAAAATTATGAGACTACGCTAGTAGTATTGTAAGCCATACAGCATTATATAAATTTTACTCTAAGTAACAACAGTGCTCCATTCAGGTGCATTAAAACATTTAAAAATACAGGATAGCCACCAAAACTGCCACAGACCTTACATACACCTATGCAACTGGGGTAAAGGATTCACCGGTTGTGAGGGTTGTATCTAGAAAGTACAGCTATTTTTATTTATTTGAAAAATAATTTCTAACTGAACAATTATGAAAAGAATGGAATAAATAGTACCAGCTATCCTGGGGGGTGGGTCACTAAAATTAAAAATGTATTGCTACAAGTAACCTTGTGCAGCTACAGATCAAGTGCAAATTTTGTTTTCAGATGCTCAAAGCCACCTCCAAATGAAAACTCCACCAAACATATAGTTTTAGTCACTCCAGCAGTAGCTTGATACAGATCGATATTTTTTAATGCAACATGTAAAAACAACCCACTCCCGGAACAAAGGTAAAAATAAAATGGTGAAGGGTCTCCCAGGTTAGTTTTCGTTTTTTGAGACAGGGTCTCACTATGCAGCCCAAGTTAGCTTCAAACCCATGGTGAGCCTCCCGCCTCAGGCTTCCAAATCCTCAGATTACAAGCGTGTGCCATCACGCCGGACTTCAGGTCAGATTTTTGTGTTTCATTTCTTATTGAGAATTTTGTCAATGCTTAAAATACCAGACACTTTTAGAGTGAATTGTAAGCATAAAAGCACACTCCAAAGTCTTTTGAATCACCCAAACCAGTATTCTGCTAAGTACCCACAAATGCTAACAACCTATACAACTGCATACAACTATTCCAAATGATAATTCTAAAAAGTAAACCCAACTAGCAAATACCTAGCATAAACCAGTGTTGCAATACTTTTTAGCTCAATCTGATCTACATTCCTTTTCCTTGGTCTTCATTTAGAAACAGGAAGAAAGTATAACTCCTTACTCCTTTTTGGTTTCTTGAGAAGACTTATGTTCCTCCTTCTCTTCAGTCTCAGGTTCTCCCTTAGGCTGTTCTGTTTCACTAGATGTCGCAGGTGGAGTTTCATTCTCTTGTTCTTCTACAGTGGAGATAGATTCCTCTGAACTTATATCTGGTTCTAAAAAATAAAGTGAGTAGAGCTGCATCACGAAGTTATACATTACAGCCTGAATTAACAAAAAGGTAAGGCTGACTGTATTAAACAGACCAGCCGAACACTCTAATTAACAGGCAACTTCTAAAAATGAAAACTACTTTGAGTATAGTTTTCTTCATCTGTATCTTTTTCTTCTTTATTGTGTGTGTGTCGGAGGGTGCTGAGGACTGAAACCAGGGACTCACACATGCTGACAAAGGTGCTCTACCACTATGCTACATACCCAGCCTTCTTTACGTCACTCAAGCTATCTGTTCAAATATTTATCCAGACCACACATAAGAAAAGGAGGTGGCCAGGAAACTACACATTTACCCTAAATCTTGAGTATTCTACTCTGCAGCATTAATGATTCTCATAATGTAAAAAGTCATTTTTAACTGGCAAGTCTTAAAAAAAAATTAGCATGTACTTCCACATGAAACGACTGATTGGGACGAGACAGGAACAGGTCTGCAGCTGTCTGTGCCTCTTCTTCACAGCAAGTTTCTGAAAAGCTACTATAAAACACCGAACACTGCTTCCATTGTTTAGAGATTTCAAAGAAGACTCCAGTGGCAAAAATCAGACAAAGAATAAAAGAATATGTTTGTGATTTTCACATAAACAGAATGAAAGAATGCCACTTCTATCTTATGATCAAACTGCAAAAATAAAACTATAAAAGTTGGAAAGGAATTTCCCATTTCTTAAATTCAAACATAAATTTCAGACGTCAACTATCAATTGCAAATCGTACGCAAGATTAATGCTCTTCAACTCACTTGCCTATATTAACCTAGTACAAATGCCTCCCAAATCTCTTCAGACAACTAAGGTTTTAAGAGTCAGATACACCTCAATTCAAGTTCTTTGTAATTTTCCAGCTCAATGATCTTAGTGGAAGTCCTCTGACATCTCAAAGTCTCATTATCCTTACCTCACAATTATGAGGATTACAAAATGCTTTAGGGGAAGCCTGTAGGCCAGCAGTCGTACTAAGTCAATGACTCTTGCCCTTCTTTGGCCTCTTCTGTTATTTTTGGAACTATTTCTCATATTCTTAGGGTCACAAAGTAATAATGGTAGAACTTCAGTATAACAATGGAATACTATATCCTGGGGTACAGAGAATAACTCATTTAGGTTTCTGATGGTAAGATATATTTTTTTGTCATGACGTATCGTGAACTATCATGAACTGTCCCTCACCCCAACCCTTTGACCTAATTGGCTGTACAAATTAAGAATTTACAATTACTTAATTTTTTATGTACTGACATTGTTAAAAAGATAAAAAGCCAAGAACCACTTATTAATTTTATTAGTACAAGCTATAAGTTTTGCACTATTTTCTGTATGTACAAGCTCTGGACTCAACCCCTAACACCAAACAAACGAAAAACTGGCAGAAAACAAATGGGAAAAAGAAGAATACACGCATAACTTGCTTTATTGAGCTTTGTGGGGTTTTTTTTTAAAATAAATTGAGAGTTTATGATAGCCTTACATTAATGTCTGCTGGTGCTATTTTTTTCTAACAGTGTATACTTTCAAACATTTTCACTATTACTGGTTATGGTGATCTGTAATCAATGACCTTTGATATCACTACTGTTCATTCTTTTGGGTAACACAAAACTATGCCTATGTAAGACAGCAAAATTAACTGATAAATGTATGTTTTGACTGCTCTACTGAACATTTGTTCCTATCTCTCCCCTCTCCTCAGGCTTCCCTATTCCATGAGACATCGTCAAAATGATAGTCCTACAATGGCCGGTAACTGTTCAAATGAAATGAAAAGCTGCAAACCCCCTAATATCACCACCATTTTTGGGCAGTCCTGGGGATTAACCGAAGGCCTTTGCCATGAGCTACATCCTCAGCTCCTTTTCTACATTTCTTTTAGATAAGTCTAACTAAAATGCCAAATTGCCCAAGCTGGGTTTGAACTTTTGATCCTCATGCCTCAGTCTTCCACAGTGCAGGGATTACAGACACACACCACCATGCCCCAGCTGGCATCTTTCTTATTGTAATTCAAAAGATAGAAATGATTAAACTGAACGAGGAAGGCATGTTAAAAGTTGAGACAGGCCAAAAGCTAGGCCTCTTTTGAGAAACAGAGGCCAAATCAGACACACAGAAAAGTTCTTAAATTAAAATTATTACTCTAGTAAATACTGTGTATGAATGATAAAATGAAACAGTCTTATTGTTGATATATAGAAAGTTTTAGTGGTCTGGATGGAAGATCAAACCAGCCACAACATTCTCATAAGCCAAAACCTAATTCAGAGCAAAGCCCTAACTCTCTTGAACTATATAGGCTGAGAGAACAAAAAGCTTCAGGAGAAAATGTGAAGCTAGCAGTAGATGGTTCATAAGATCTAAGGGAAAAAAGCCAACTCTATCACATAAAAGTACAGTGGCAAACAGCCAATACTAATGCAGAAGTTGCAGCGTGTTATTCAGAAGACCTAGCTAAGATAACTGATGAAGGTGGCTACTCTGAACAACAGATTTTTCTATGTGGATAAAAGAACTTTGTATTAGAAGATGCTACCTAGTCTTTTATAGCAAGTAAAGTCCATGTCTGCCTTCCAGGCATCGAAGTATCTTATCAGGGCTAAAATAGTTGGTGACTAAATTGAAGCCATTGTTCATTTACCATTCTGAAAATCCTACAGTCCTTAAGAATTACACTAAATCTAGTCTTGTGCTCTATCAATGCAATAACAAAGCCCAGATGAGAAACATCTATTTCCAACACAGCTCACTAAATATTTAAGCTCTTTGTTGAGACCTTCTGCTCAGAAAAGATGGCTTTCAAAACATTACTGCTCACCGACAATCCATGTGGTTAACTAAGCACTCTGATGGAAACATATGACACCAATGTTGTTAATATGCCTGCTAATACAACATCTATTCTGCCCTTCACAGATTAAGAATTAATTTCAACTTTTGTTATAATTTCATTTCAATTTTTTTTTTGAGGGGGGGGTTCTTTTTGTGCCAGGGTTTCACTGTGCAGTTCAGGCTGGCCTTGAACTCACTTTATAGCCCACGCTGACCTCAAACTCGCAGCAATCCCCCTGCCTCGACCTCCTGAGTGCTAGGTTTACAGGCATTCACGGCCTCATTTTATTATATAAGAAATGCATTCTGTAGCTGGGTATAGGGTATGATTTTTTTTTTTTGGCTAAGGCTATAGCTGCCACAGACAGTGATTCTTCTGATACAGCCAAATAAAACTGAAATCCTTCTGGAATAGTTTCACCACTCTACATACCAGTAAGAATATTCAAGATTCACAGGAAGAGGTCAAAATATCAAAACAAACAAAGGTCAAAATATCAAAACAAACAAAGGAATTTGGAAGAGGTTCATTTTAACCTCATAAATGACTTTGGAGTGTTCAAAACTTCAGGGGAGATATTAACTACAAATGTATGTAACAGAAATGGCAAGACAACTAAACTCACAAGTAGATCCTAAAGATGTGGCTAAACTGTTGCAATCTCATGATAAAATCTGAATGGATGAGCTACTTCTCACAGATGAACAAATAAGTGATGTCTATGCGTGGGGAAGATGCTATGAACTTTTTGGAAATGAAAAAAGAAATCTGACTATTATAGCGTAAACTTAGTTGAGCTGGGAGCTACAGTGTACACTTGTGATCCCAGTTCCCTGGGAAGGTGAGATAAAAGGCTTGCAAGTTTGAGCCCTGCCTGGGGCAGGGGGGGGGATTTAGTGTATTACCGAGATTGTGTTCAAAATGAATTTTATAAAAATGGGGTGGGGTTGTAACTCAGTGCCAAGGCCATGGTTTTGATCCCCAGTACCACAAAAAAAAAAAAAAAAATGTAGTTGATAAAATGTTGCCAGGAATTAAGAGGATGAACTTCAACTTTGAAAAAAAATTCTACTGTGAATAAAGGCTATTAGCATCATGCTATAAAAATTGTTTTTGAAAGCAAGGGTCAGTTGATATGTCAAATTTTCACTGTGTAAGAAACTGACACAGCCATTCCAACCTTCACCAACTAGCACACTAACTCAGCAATTAACACTAAACGTCTAGAGGATTATTAGTATTTTTTAGCAATAATTTATTTTAATTAAGGCATGTACTTCCTTAGATATAAATTTATTGCATACTTAACATACTTTAGTACAGTGTTAAGTGTAATTTTTATATGTACTGGGAAATGCTTTATCATGATACTTGCTTTTAGTCTTGAACTGAAACAATCATCTGTGAAGTATGCCTGTGCTTGCTTGCTTGCTGGCTTGTTTATTTTGGTTTTTTGAGACAGGGTATCGCTATGTAGTTTGGGCTGGCCTTGAACTTGTGGTGATCCTCCTGCCTCAGCCTCTCAAGTGCTAGGATTACAGGCACATGTCACTGTGCCTGGCCTCTGTAGTTGCTTTAGTTATGGCTTAACAAAGACTCAGTCACTAAAGAGAGAATGCTGCACACACAAGACAGAGTTTCCAACTCGTTAAACCACTGTGTCTGCTGGTATGAAATGGAGGATTTACAAAATTTAAAATGAGTGATGTCTAATTACTTCTAATAACAAAATAATATAATGAGGTACATAGAAGATTAAGTACACAACTTATGAAGTAATATAGTTACTTTATAAATTTTTGGTTGACTCTTCTAATGTACATCAAAACTCTGCCATATTATTCTGAAAAATGATGTTTTTAGTGATTTAGGGGCTTATCCTAGTGTTAGTAGATCATCAATTCACCAGCGCTCGTTATTTTTTTAATATTTTAACTGTCATGTTCCATAACTACATTAGGCCAGAGTAATTTGTTTGTAGTACTCACTCTAAGGATTTGGACACACAAACCGAGGTGCAAACCTCTGGTGCACTAATGGCTAAAAGCAATAAGGATGCACTGTATTTTCTATTCCTAATCTGGTTCTAATTTTCTATTCCTAATCTGGTCTGCAAACATGATTCTATCAGCCATGATAGGGACAGCACAGAGTGCTCATCCCTAGCAAACCTGAGAAAAAATAAAAGGGAGAAAAGAAAATACTAGCAAAGAAAGAAAAAGGTCACAAGATAAAAAAGAGGGAAAAGGAGCACAGGTAGACGCTATAAAGGAGCACTAATTCTTCAAGCTGATGGGTCTGCATTTCATTATTCTCTTACCTGACTGATGAACCTCTTCACCATCAATATCAATTATAAACAATTTTTAGTAAGTTTTTTGTTTCCCTTAAGGCCTCCTGATGGATTTCTGGGTGAGCCTTTCCCCTGTCTATCCTGAAGCCCCAAATAGTTCAGAATTCCTAAGAATCTTCCCTCTCATGACATTATTATGTCCAGGATGCCACTGTTTCTGTTCCTATCCTATTTTTGTATTTTTAATTTGAAGAACATTATATTTTCACCTTCCAAAAATTCTCTGAGGTAAGAGGCAATTATATTTTGCACACAGAGTCTGGCAACGACAAACTAATAACTACTGCTTCTTTCTTTAAATGTTCCCCCAGAATACTTAACCATGAAAAAAGAACAATACATTCAAACAGATTTATGAAACAGTCCAAATTGAAGTAAAAGCTTTTGCTTTCTGTGCCACTGCTTTACCTGGCTTTTCTTCTTCCCCTTCAGCAAGTTTGCTTTTGGGCGGAGTTTCCCGGGTAGAATTCACAGCTCGACGAATCGGCATGGTGCTATCTTCTACCTTCTAAGAAAAGAAATGGTCATAATCAAACATGCATAAAATACTCTCTTTTCTCTCTTTCTCAAGGGGCCTAACTGGGTGTCAAAAGATGTAGGAGAATTCTTCAAGTCAACTCTAGGATCTGATGCATATTATTTTTAATAAGCTTTTTTGAAGTGAAATATTTTTAAAAGAAATAATCTTCAAAATACTTCATTTTAGACAGATTCACATGGAAACAAGTAATTTAGAGTAACTTGAAATCAATTTAGAAGGCTGAAGCTTTCTCAGGGATTAGAGGGGAAGGGGAAGATGAAAAGAACTCTGTATTAGATTTTTCTTCAGATTCATGACCTAATATTCCCAAAGTACGGGAAGGAACATGTACCAAGAAGAACCCAGCAGGCCCTGAAGTCAAGGGTGGATCCAAGAGTGAGCTTCAAGAATGCATCAGCCCCTACCTCACCTAACTTGTCCGCGTGGATCAGCTGAGCTCCTACTATAAGTGGGAGTGCCTTAGGATGGACGAGTTCACCTTGAGACGTATCAGTCGCCATTTAAAATAATTTCTAGGCCCGAGTACAGGTTACACTCTGAAGCCTCTGCTGTTAACCACAAGGATTTTTCCTAATGGCTTCAGTGTGATGAAGAATCAACCTAAAGCACAGAAAAGACCTGGTGTGAAGATTAACAGAAATAAAACTAAACTAAAACGTCTAAATTTAATATACATCCAAAGAGAAAAAAAAACTATAAAACTTAGTTACATGACCCATGACTAAGTTATTAATCGAAAAGATAAAACCACTATCGAAACACAGACTATGTAAAGCAGCGACTAAGACAAATGCACAAGCCACAGCAGATGTTGCACCTTCTACATAAACAAAGACAATGACAAGAAAGCGCATAAGGAATGCTAACCCCATACGCTCCTGCTAACATCAGAACTTAACAAAGATGAGGAGACTAAGGAATGGTTTCATCAAACGTTTAGTCAAAGACCGATTTACTAAAAAGAAGCCTTTTGTTTGAATTGTTCTCAAAGGAGTCAGGAAAATTAATTTTAATTCTATCTTCATTAGAGAAGTAATTTTTTCTCTATGAATGGAAAATACAAGGGCAAAAATAAGGAAGAACCTGGTATTTTAAGAACCTCCAGATCTGAAGAAGTAAATTTAGGCCATTATCTAAGAGAATGGAAGTATGCATGTTTCTAAGACTTGTATGTCGTATTTTTAATGTAAGCAAAGTAGAGAAGAAGATAATTAAAATTTACAGATAAAACCCACGTAGTCACCCTATTTTACCTGATCATTAACAGC